TCATGGAAAATCCAACTTTTTTTTTTTTATTTTAGAATCCCCAACCAACCCCAGATGATTCCATGCAGTAACCACACGTGCCAGACTCCCATCCCAAAATTTATTCCATTCTCCCACTTGCCGGGAGCTTTTCCCAGAATACAAAGAATAAAAAGGATGAAAAAAAAAAAAAAAAGCCACTTCTGCCAATTCCATGGAAAAATGAACATTTTAGGATTTTAGCATTCCCAACCAGCCCCAGATGATTCCAGGCAGTGACCACACGTGCCAGACCCACATCCCAAAATTTATTCAATTCTGTTTCCTGGGAGCCCTTCCCAGGATACAGAGAGGAAAGAAAGAATGAAAAAAAGAGATCCTTGCGCCAGTTTCATGGAGAATCCAACATTTTAGGATATTAGAATTCCCAACCAATCCCAGAAGATTCCAGGCAGTGACCCCAAGTCCAGATGTGCCATGGCTCGTCCTCCTGCCAGGAGGGACCTGCTGGGTGACAACTGTCACTGCTGCCACCAGACCCCAATTCCACCTCTGGGATAAAATTCCAGAGCCTTTCCCAGGCTCTGGTGCTCAGCAGCTCATGGGGGCCCTGCTCACATTTCAGTTGATGCAATCTGGGGGCCGTTCCAGAGGTGCTGACGTCCAACCAGCCCCAATTTTATCCTTTACTCCTCTAAAACCCAAGGGAAATTCCTAAAAAAAGCTTTGGGATAAAGAACAGGAAAGCAGAAGGAAGGCAGGTGTAGAGAACGAAATCCCAGGATTTTTATTTAATTAAAAAAGCAACAAAAGTTCATTAAATTCCCAATCTGAGCTTCCTCCTTCTGTTTTTATTCTTTAATTATTTTTTTTAGCAGCCACGCCTGCAGTTCACACGCAGTTTTTGAAGGGATAATCCAGAGGCATTTCCAGCAATCCTGGCCTTAAAAAGGGATTTCCCTGGAGAGCTTTTTGTCCAGGAAGAGCTTTTGTGCTGCTGTGGAGCGCGGTCATTATTTTCTATTTCAACTGACAGGGAATCCCACCCCTTGGAAAAATTAACTCCAAGGATGAGGCTTCCACTTCCCAGAAGGTGAAAGTCACACGGGCAGAGTCCAATGGAATTAAAAATGTGCCACTGTTACAATGGCAAAGAAGGAGGGATCTGAAAAAAGATGGGAATGGGTTCCCTCAGGAAGGAACCAATGGAACAGGATGTCCAGGAGTGGAATGGAACCCCCATTCCTGCAGGGATTTAAAGGTCTGTGGATGTGGCACTTGGGGACACGGGGCAGTGGTGGCCTTGGCAGTGCTGGGGGAGGATTTGACTCGATGGTTTTGGAGGATTTTTCCAACCTCAGCCATTCTGTGGTTCCATGATTTCTACACAGCCTGACACCCTTCCCAACCCTGTCAGGGTTCTTGACTTTAAGCCCTGGAAAACATTGCTGTGGCTCTCCCTGTGTCCCAGTCTGATGGGCAGGTGTCCCTCAAGGATGTTATCCAGCATTTTCCTCTCTTACTGGATGGAGGAGCCACCTTGGAACCAGAGAACCCTGGAATGGTTGGGGTGGAAGGGACCTTAAATCCCATCCCATTCCCATCCTTTCCATGGGCAGGACACTTCCCACTGTCCCAGGACACTTCCCACTGTCCCATTGTCCAACCCATCTGTTGGACATTTCCAGAGATCCAGGGGTACCTGAATCCCAAGTTCTCTGGGAATTCCATCCCAGCCCCTCCCCACCCTCCCAGCCAGGAATTTCTTTCCAATATTCCATTTAATCCACCCTCTTCCAGTTTAAAGCCATTTCCCCTTGTCCTGTTCACTCCAGCCAGCAATTCCCAATCTCCCACCCATCCCTGCCCTCTGGCACTGGCAGCCATTCCCTGGCTCCTGTCCCTCCATGCCTTGTCCCCAGTCCCTCTCCAGCTCTCCTGGAGCCCCTTCAGGCCCTGCCAGGGGCTCTGAGCTCTCCCTGGAGCCTTCTCCTCTCCAGGGGAGCATTCCCAGCTCTCCCAGCCTGGCTCCAGAGCAGCTCCAGCCCTTGGAGGAGCTCCATGGCCTCCTCTGGATCACATCCACACCTTCCTTGTCCCAAGTCCCTCTCCACCTTTGGAGTCAGCAGCCACAAATTAGGAAAACATCCGTAAAAAATTCATGGAGATGCTTCATTCATGGAACGAAGCACAGACAGCAAAGGCACACTCATATAAAGATACTGAAGTTTAGAGAAATTTCAAGGGAAAAAAATTTCCTCAGAGCCCTGCTGGTGCTTTGAGGGAAGATTTATTTCTGGGTCAGACTGGGGGATAATTGTTGAATTCTGGGATTCAGGGCGCACCTGGCACAAGATGGGAACTCCATTTACCAAATGCTTTTCCTGCCTGGCACGGAAGTTTCTATTTCCAGCAAATTCTCTTCTCTCGTCAGCTGCTGTGTGAAAATCCTGACCCACAACAGCAAAATGAGCTGAAGTGAGAGAGAAATGAGCCAAAATGCTGAGAAATAAGCACACAAAGTCAACCCAAACTCTGCCTTTCTCTCACATTTCACTCCTCAACTCAGCATCACTGGCAGCAAAGATAAACCCAAGATTGAAATGGAGATTTTTTTCCTTCTAAAGGAGAAGTTTTCCCATTTAACAGAAATAATAAGGGGGAAATAATAAAACTGGGGCTAGGAAGGAGCTGAGCTTCATTTATTCAATGGTTTCTTCTCATTGTGGTCCCATCTCAGCATTAACGGGGCCACAGAAAAGAGAGAGAAAAGGAAAAAAAACCACCTGGAGTGTTTTAATGAGACTTTGTTCAACATCTAGCAGCTCCCAGGCACCGTCTTCTATAAATAAAAACAGGAGGGGATATTATTATTATTATTATTATTATTATTTTTATTATGATGCCATGACTCATGGAATTTGTGTCTGCAGGGATTTAGGGATGCGGCTTTTCCTCTGGGCTGGCTGGCACTGTCTGCTGGATCAATTAAAACACTGAGGTTTCTTTCCACACCAAGATCTTCCTCTCCTTTTCCTTATTCCAAGTTGTTTTCCACCCCAGTTCCCCTTCCCGACTTCACCCCCATGTAAATCCCAGCAAATTAATGTTCCTGAGCTGAGGAATGGCAACAAAACGTCAGAGCCAAATGTCAGAAATTCAAATTCAAGCACAACATTCCAAATAAATCCACGCCCATCTCCTGATGCAATCCAGGCTGATCCAATGCTCCCTCCCTGATCCCAATTCCTCATCCTGCTGGAGAGCAGGAGATGCTGGGCAATAAGAAGCGAGCAGTGGTTGTGGCTCCCATGAAACATTCCCACATTGGCTCTTTATCCATCAGTTTTTCCTGAGTCTGATTAATCCCAGGTTATTCTTTCAAATTCCTACAGCTTGGAGTTTATGTGGAAAATGAGGTTCAGATGAAGTGTTTGGTTCAGGGAGGTGAATCCTCTCTGATGGTGCCAATCCAGCTCTGTATCCAAACCAACTGCCTGTGTCCCAGGGGTTTTCCAGAAGGGAATAAACGAGCAGGGAATGATTCCCTCCAGCTGGCAGCAGTTGCTGTGCAAGCCCTCCTCTTTCACTTTCACCTCAGACAGACACTTTTCCTGATATTTCCTGGAATTAAAGCGCAGGGACCAATCTAAAGCTCCCCACCAGGGATGACATTCCCAGCTTTAATTTCAGGAACAGCTTCAGACAAGGAGGAAGGAAGAGATGAAGGAGGCAATGAGAACTCCAGGAGCTTGGGATGCATCCAATACCTTTGGTGATAATTTCATGGAATATCCTGAGCAGGAAGGATCCCACAAGGATCATGGAGTCCAGCTCCTGTCCCTGCCCAGACCCCCCAGCATTCCCACCTTGGGATCCCTGGAATTGCTGTCCAAAGGCTCCTGGGGCTCTGGCAACCGTGCCCATTCCCTGGGGAGCCTGGGCAGTGCCAGCACCCTCTGGAATACTGGAACCTTTCCCTGAGATCCAACCTGAGCCTGCCCTGTCCCAGCTCCAGCCATTCCCTGGCTCTTGTCCCTGTCACAGGGACCATCAATCAGAGCTGCTCCTCAAGAGGATGTTGAAGACCACAATGAAGTGTCCCCTCAGTCCCCTCCAGGCTGAACAAAGCAATTTCTCTCCACTTTGCATGGAAGAGCTGCTGCATCACCCCAGCACAAAAAAGCACCAAGCCACCTCAGGGCTTTGATCCCAGCACAAGAACTCTGGCAGGCTTGGAAACCAACACTAATTCATCCCATAACTGATTAGAAATGACCAGAAATCCCAGAATGAGAGAATCATCAAGGCTGAAAGAAACCTTCAAGATTTAGTCCAACCGGGGCCATTTGGAAACAGAGGAAACCCCCCACTACTGAACATTGAATGTTGAACATTGAACATTAGACATTTAATGTTGAGCATTGAACATTGAATGTTGAACATTGAACATTAGACATTTAATGTTGAGCATTGAACACTGAGTATTGAACGTTGGATATTTAATGTTGAGCATTGAACGTTGAATGTTGAATGTTAAACTATGAATGTTGAACATTGAATGTTGAACAAGGAACATTGAATGTTGAATGTTGAACATTGAACATTGAATGTTGAACAATGAATGCTGAATTTTGAATGTTGAACGTTGAACATTGAACATTGAATGTTTAACAATGAATGTTGAATTTTGGATGTTGAACGTTGAACATTGAACATTGAATGTTGAATGTTGAACATTAAACTTTGAACGTTGAACATTGAACATTGAATGTTGAACATTAAACTTTGAATGTTGAACAATGAATGCTGAATTTCGAATGTTGAACGTTGAACATAGAACCTTGAATGCTGAACATTGAACATTTAACATTGAACGTTGAATGTTGAACAATGAACATTGAACGCTGAATGTTGAATGTTGAACAGTGAACATTGAACCTTGAACCTTGCTGTCCCACTGGATTAGGACTGGAATAATCTTCCAGGAGAAAGGTCCATGGTTTTCCAGCTGAACTCACCTCTTACGATGATGTTGGTGGACTTCTTGGCGGGATTGCCGACGTTGTTGTTGGCGATGCAGCTGTAGGTGCCGGAATCCTCGGAGGTGATGGCGGGAATGGTCAGGGTGCCCCCGTTCAGCACAGTCTTGTTGGGCAGGACCCCCACAGACCTCACCCACGTCAGGCTGGGCGCTGGCTCCCCCCCGGTGGTCACACACACCAAGGTGATGGCTTCTCCAGGGTTCACCACGATGGGGTCGTCCACGAGGAGCTTGATGGAAGGGGATGCTGCAGAACAACCGGGATCACAGAATCAGGGAATGATTTGGCTGGGAAGGGACCTCAAAGCCCACCCAGTGCCACCCCTGCCATGGCAGGGACACCTCCCACTGTCCCAGGCTGCTCCAAGCCCCAGTGTCCAGCCTGGCCTTGGGCACTGCCGGGGACCCAGGGGCAGCCACATCCCCTGGGCATGCAGAGGCAGGTAAGGATGGATGGATGGATGGATGGATGGATGGATGGATGGATGGATGGATGATGAATGGATGATGGATGGATGGATGGATGGATGGATGGATGGATGGATGGATGATGGATGATGGATGGTTGGATGGATGGATGGATGGATGGATGGATGGATGGATGGATGATGGATGGATGATGGATGGATGGATGGATGGATGGACGGATGGATGGATGGATGGATGATGGATGCATGGATGGATGGATGATGGATGGATGATGGATGGATGATGGATGATGGATGGATGATGGATGGATGGATGGATGGATGGATGATGGATGGATGATGGATGGATGGATGGATGGATGGATGGATGGATGGATGGATGATGAATGGATGATGGATGGATGGATGGATGGATGGATGGATGGATGGATGGATGATGGATGATGGATGGTTGGATGGATGGATGGATGGATGGATGATGGATGGATGATGGATGGATGGATGGATGGATGGATGATGGATGGATGATGGATGGATGGATGGATGGATGGATGGATGGATGGATGGATGGATGATGGATGCATGGATGGATGGATGATGGATGGATGATGGATGGATGATGGATGATGGATGGATGATGGATGGATGGATGGATGGATGGATGGATGGATGGATGGATGATGGATGGATGGATGGATGGATGGATGGATGGATGGATGGATGGATGGATGGACGGACAGCTCTGCAGCCACATTTGGGATGGAACATGCCTGTGTGTGGGAGAGATGCCAGCACACTGGCTTGGAAACCTTGGAAGAAGGAATTAGTCAAGAACTTGTTTGGCATGGGAAGCCTGCTCTCCTCAAGTCAGATCCTGCCACTCATCCATCCCTCTCCATCCACCTTTTTCCCAGTGAACTCCTGGGAACCTGGCTGCCAACTGGGATGGATCCCTGTTGGAATGCAGAGAGGCATCTCCCTTGGGACATCATCTCTTTGTACATGGAGAGACGGAACCATCCCGGACAGAGGTGATTTTCCCTCTCTGGGATGTGCAACCTTCACACCTAATCCTCATAATTCCCATAAAATTTCAGGTGTAGTGGGAGCAGTCAGCACAGATGGATGGGGAGATGCTGCTGACCTTGGAAAGATTAATTCTGTTTTCTTGTCTCTCCTTTCCCATGAAATATTTCCATGCTATATAAGAGGAGGAAATGCTCAATACTAAGGGACAGGGCAGCAATTAATTGGAGAATATAGATATAAAATAAAAATAAAAATAAAAATAAAAATAAAAATAAAAATAAAAATAAAAATAAAAATAAAAATAAATATATGAGTATAGAATCACACTCTGAGCTGTGACATCCTGTGTCCCCTGTGGAGAGGGATCCATCCTTGCTGGATCCAGGCTTTGCTCCAAGGCATCCTTTAAGCTGCATGAATGATGCACCAATGTATAAATATCCATTGCTAGGCCAGGGAAAGCAGCAACTCCAAAAAAACCTCAGGAATGAAGGTGAAGGATTGACATTCTGGGCCAAGAATGCCAGCAAAAGTGGTAATAAAAAGGGAAAGGCAATAAAAATGTTACATTCCAAAATCACATCGCCATCCTTGTTATTACAGGGAGATATTCCCGGGTGTTCCGCTTTAGATGGGAATCTTATTTCAATATTAAAGGAATACAAACCAAGCACTAGAGGCAAATACAAGAATCAGCCATAAAATCAGCGTTTGCTTCATTTGGGCTTCACCCAGGAGGAATTTGCTTTGTCTGCATTTGGAAGCAGGAACAAAAGAAAAATGGGAAGACCTTCCTTTGTAGCTGTCCTGGCACCAGGAGAAGTGGGAGCATCATATTCATGGAATATCCTGAGTAGGGGCGTCCCACAAGGATTATGTATCCAGCTCCTGGCCCTGCCCTGACCCCCCAGCAATCCCACCCTGGGCATCCCTGGCAGTGCTGTCCAAAGGCTCCTGGAGCTCTGGCAGCCTTGGGAATGTGCCCATTCCCTGGGGAGCCCTGGCAGTGCCAGCACCCTCTGGAATAGTGGAACTTTCCCTGCTGTCCATCCTATCCCTCCTGGACACAGCTTCAGCCACTCCCTCAGTCCAGTCCTGGGTCACCAGAAGGAAACTCCTTAGGAGAGCAGAGATTCACAATCCAAGCCCTCTCTTCCAGTTCATCCCATTTTTGGACTTCTCAAATCCTTACCAGCATGAATTCCTGGTTCAGGTAATTTAAAACCAAAGTAATTGGGCTCACGGCTAAAAATCCAGACCCCAAACCAGTCGGCTCTGACAGCTGTGCCAGGGTCTCTTTGCTCACAACCTCTAAGCTCTTCCTCCATCAGCTGATGCCTCCAGCAGCTGATGGATCCCTGGTCTGGAATTCCAGCTGGGAAACTGGGAATTGTGTCATGTTTTCTGCTTAAGGAGGTTTATTTTTGGAAGAAGGTGTCAAAACCAGGGATCCAGGTACAACCAGAACCTGTGGGGTCATCACCAATACCCAGCTGGCACCTATTTCCCTCTCCCTTCCTCCCTCCTGGGTTTCATCATTTTTCCTGAACAATTCCAGAAAGGAGCTGCTCTTTGCTCCCACTTCCCATCAAATCTCGAGACAGGGAACAAGGGAACCATGGATAATCCTTCAAAACTCGAAGCAAAAGATAAAAGCACCGACGTCAGCCCAAGCTGGTGGGGCCATTTCCATAATCCTGCAGATGAAAGGGAGCCCTTTGCCATCCTTCAGGAACAAAGTGGGATGGGATAAAAAGGCTGGGACACATCCCTTTCATCCCGACACTCCAGACAGAAAGTACATGGAAATGAGGGTTTGGATACAGCAGTTTCCCTTTATTTACACCACGAGTTTCACTTTCAGCTCCAATCCCAAAAAGGCAAACAGAAATCCCTGGATTTCTGCAGCCATGGACACAGCAAGCTGGATTTAATCCGAAAAATATTAAGAAATTTAGGAAGGTTGTTGAGGTTTTCAGCAAATGGGACTCAGTAGAGCAGATAAAGGGTCAAACCCCTCTTATGCAGGGAATATTCTCAATATTCCCAATATTCATGAATGGGCCTTTACATTGATAGTTCTCTGCTAAAGGAGCAAAGAATGGGGAGTTATAGCCAGGGAATCATAAAACCCTGGAATGGTTTGGGTTGGAAGGACCCTAAATCCCATCCTATCCCACCCCTGCCATGGCAGGGACACCTCCCACTGTCCCAGGGTGCTCCAAGCCCCAGTGTCCAGCCTGGCCTTGGGCACTGCCAGGGATCCAGGGGCAGCCACGGAACATGGGAAAGGTTCATGCGTGAAATCCCATAAATTCCAAGAATTCCAAATGCAACAAAACCGTCCCTGCCAGAAGGAGTCCGGACTAAATGGGGTCTGTTATCACTCTCAAAACCTTTTCCCCAGCCAAGGTCTGTCCTAAATGACTTTCAGCATTGAGGAGGTGAACGCTGGGCCTTGGAGCTTTGGCCAGCAAAGCTTCACCCAACCACAACCTCCAGCCCAGCAGAGCCTCAGCCAGCCAACATTCCTGGTCAAAACCTCCCTTGGACTCCATTAGGAATAATAAAAATCATCACCAAACAATAGCAAGCTCTAGGAAATACTCCCAAAACTTCCCTGGAGAACGCTTTCCAAACATCCCGTTTGCACGCCACAAGAACACCTCCATGTCCTGAGGGCTCCGCGTCCCCCCTGCCCTTTGGAACTGGGGTTTCCCAGCGCCAATCCCACATTTTGGAGTCAGCCTTGGCTTGGCAGGGGACTGTCAGAACCCAGGAAATTCCTCTGGCTGCCTTGGAGGACTCGAGACCTTGGCAAGGGGCTTGGAGACCTGGGCACAGAGTCAAAAAACACCTGTGCCTTTGGTTTTAGCCCTTGGAAAAAACAATTACTGACTTTATATGAAGAATTACAAGTCAAAAGAGTCTAAGTAGAATAACAGTTAGTTTGTCATGGGGTGAAAATGTAGAATGTTGGGGTTTTAGAATGGGGGTTCAGGAGGCAAGATGGAGAAATCTGGGCGTGTCCTGTCCTTCTTCTTCTTCTTCTTCTTGCCCTCCATCTCCTGCTATGATGGTGGCAGTTCTGGATTGGTTTAGAGTGGAAGCTCACTGTCTAACATAGGTGATAGGGATTGGGAAGTGATTGTAAATAATGCACACATAGTTTTTAGTACAAAAAGTTAACACTGCCCCGAGGGTGGCCAGTGTGCCTCAGCCTGAGCTGCCAGACAGACCTGCAGCGGGTCGGAGAAAGCATGACAGAGATGAGAAACAATGAAAAACCTTGAGAATGAAAACAAAAGAATCCCGACTCCTTCTTCAACCGCTGGGCTGGGAAAAGAGGCTCGCGCGTATCTCAGAGTCACTGCGACCAGCAGAGATTCTGAGAGGGCACAAAGAGAGCGGCAGAGCCCCTGGGAGCTCCTCCCCTGGCAGAACAAGGCCCTACTGATCGGAGGGAATCCGCCCCGCTCCCATTCACGCCGCAGCTGCAGCCTTGGGAAAGGGCCTCCCATTCAGAGCTTCCGTGCGGGAGCGACGGACGGGGGTAGGATGGTCGGGACGGACGGAGACCAGAGACCTCCGAAGCCAGGCCTTGGTACTCGTGGGTTATTGCAAAGGGCGTGGGTGGTTTATTGCAAAGGGCACCAAGCAGGGGCCCTGCTTGGAGCTGCCGGCCACAGCTTGGAGCAGACCCCAGAGAGGGAGAGAGGGGTAAAGAGAGTGATAGAGAAGGCAAGAGCGTGTGTCAGAACCCAGGAAATTCCTCTGGCTGCCCTGGAGG